TGGAGGAGCCAATTGATTCACTCACTTTGTTTACAGGGGAAGGCAGCGTGCCACAAAGATGGAGGTGTCAAGTGACTGGCAATGGGAATGTGCAGGTTGGAGGTGAAAGATCATGTGATGGAGCCTCCAACGATACAGCCAAACACGGCTTGGCAGGACATAGACCTGCCCTGAGTGCCTTACAGCTGCTTCTTGCTTTGTGCAGCTGAGGGAACCAATTGTGCTAAATAGTGTGCAATTTTTTTTTGTTGTTGCCTTGTGATAGCACTATCACAGATTGAGACTGCTGGGCTCAGCTCGATCCGTTTGTGATAGGTTTTATTATGGATGTACAAAACTCAAGAATCCCATCGCCAAACCTCTCAACATCTTCTTCCCTGAAAGAAAAACTTCCTCTTTGACCAAGGTCACTAGTACTACTAAGGTCTTATTTATTGTCCAGTGTGGCTTTCATATCTCTCCTGTGTATATCTTAGGTGTTTGCACTAAAGGTAGTTATTGTAAGTCATCTGTGCAAAATGGAAACTTCACAAATACCAGAATGTCAACCACAGGAAGCAATCTCTTCAAAAACAGAGCTGACTTGTAGTTAATTTCTTTGGACCTGCTCTAACACACCTTTGAGACAACTGGAACTTGAACCCAGGTCTCCTGACCTAGAGTTAGGAACACTGTCACTGCACCACCAACCCCTGGGATTGACACTTTTTTTTATCAGTCTGAGTGGTCTCCCATGTCAGTTTCTGCTGGTTTCTAATCAACCCATTCAGAGATGTTACAGCACACCTCTGGAATAAGCTGGACTTGAACCAAAGCCTCCTGGCTTAGAGGTAGAGATGCTACCAGTGTGCCACAAGTGCTCTGTGGAGTAGACTTAATGCTGAGATTTTCAAAGTGAACCTGAGTGATACCGTTTTGAAATTTCATTGGCATCCGGCCTGAAGAATGTCATAGAGCGATAGACTTATACAGCATTAAACAGACCCTTCGGCCCAACTTGTCCACACCGACCAGATATACTAAATTAATCTAGTCCATTTGCCAGCATTTGGCCCACATCCCTCTAAACCCTTCCTATTCATATACCCATCCAAGAGCCTTTTAAATAGATTTATTTGTCAGCTTCCACCACTTCCTCTGGCGGCTCCATACAAGCACCACCCTCTGTGTGAAAAAGTTGCTCCTCAGGTCCCTCTTAAATTTTTCTCCTCTCACCTCAAATCTATGCCGTCTAGTTTTGGACTCCCACACCCTGGGGAAAAGACCTTGGCTATTCACCCTATCCATGCCCCTCATGATTTTATAAGCCTCTGTAAGGTCACCCCTCAGCCTCCGATGCTCCAGGGAAAATTGCCCCAACCTATTCAGCCTTTCCCCACAGCTCAAACCCTCCGATCCTGGCAACATCCTTGTAAATCTTTTCTGAATCCTTTCAAGTTTAACAACATCTTTCCTATAGTAGGGAGACCAGAATTGAATGCAGTATTCCAAAAGTAGCCTAACCAATGTCCTGTACAGCTGCAACATAACTTTCCAACTCCTATACTCAATGCACTGACCAATGGAGGCAAGCGTACTAAATGCCTTCTTTACGAACCTGTCTACCTGTGACTGTACTTTCAAGGAACTATGCACCTGCACCCCAAGGTCTTTTTGTTGCACAATACTTCCTAGGGCCCTGCCTTTAACTGTATAAGTCCTGCCCTGGTTTGCCTTACCAAAATGTGGTACCTCACATTTATATAAATTAAACTCCATCTGCCACTCCTCAGCCCATTGGTCTATCTGATCAAGATCCTGTTGTATTCTGAGATAACCTTCTTCACTGTCCACAACACCACCAATTTTGGTGTCAGCTGCAAACTTACTAACCATACCTCCTATATTCATATCCAGATCATTTATATCAGTGATTAAAAAGCATTAAGCCCAGCACCGATACTTGCAGCACACCACTGGTCACAGGTCTCCAGTTCGAAAAACAAATCTCTACCGCCAAACCCTTTCTCCTACCGTCAAGCCAATTTTGTATTCAGTTGGCTAGTCCCCATGGAATCATGTGACCTAACCTTGCTAACCAGTCGAGATTGCTGAACACATTTCTAAAGTCCGTATAGACAATGTCTACTGCCTTGCCTTCTTCAATCTTCTTTGTCAACTCTTCAAAATCTCAATCATGTTAATGAGACACAATTTCCTATGAACAAAGCCATGTTGACTGTCCCCAATCAGTCCTTGCTTTTCGAAATATATGTAAATCCTGTCGCACTGAATCCCCTACAACAACTTGCCCACCACTGACGTCAGGCTCGCCGATCTATAGTTCCCTGACTTCCTTTTTCTTAAATAATGGCAAAACATTCGCCACTCTCCAGTCTTCTGGCACCCACCTGTGGCTATTGATGATAAAAATATCTCAGCAAGGAGCCAAGTAATCACTTCCCTAGCTTCCCACAAAGTTCTGGGTTACATCTGATCAGATCCAGGGGATTTATCTACCTATATGTGTTTTGAAACATCCAGAACCTCCTTGTCTGTAATATGGACACTTTTGAAGACATCAGTACTTATTTCCCCAAATTCCCTAGCTTCCATGTGGTTCTGTGGGAGCTTGACCCCACTCCTTCAAGCTGCTTCTATTGTTCCAACTAAAACAAAACCAAGCTCTCACAAGCTGTTCACTTTATTGGCTTGGAACAGACTGCTCAATACCTCTGTCTCAACTTCTCTTCACAAAACCAAACTGGGATCAAATACACCTCTTAAAGCCATTGTGTCATCACATCTGTTCATAGGAATGGCTGTGCCCTTCCAGTGACTTTCCATTTCAATTGACTGCCTTGTTCCCATGTTAACGTTTCCTTTCTTGCTTTGCAGCAATGTTCCAATGGAGGTCAATGCAAGCTCGTGGAATAACACCTCATTTCCCACCTGCGATCTTTGCAAACTGTAGGACTCAATGTTGAGTTCAGCAATTTTCAGAGCTACCCCCTGCCCTCCATTTATGATTACAAGCCCACTACCCACCAGGGGAAAGTACAGTGGCTCAGCGTCTAGCACTGCTGCCTCACAGCGCCAGGAACCCAAGTTCGCTTCCACCCTAAGGCGACTGTCTGTGTGGAGTTTGCAATTTCTCACCATGTCTGTGCAGGTTTCCTCTAGGGTGCTCCAGTTTCCTCCTACAGTCTAAAGATGTGTAGGTTAGGTGGATTTGCCACGCTAAATTGCCGATAATATCCAGGAATATGCAAGCTAGGTAGGTTAGCCATTGGAAATGCCGGGTTACATGGATGGGGGTAGGACGGGTCTGGGTGGGATGCCTTTTGGTTGGTTGGTGTGGCCTCCTTCCACATTGTGGGGATTCTATGATTCTCCACAGCAAATACTGAGTGTCTGTGTCTTGAATTCCTGCACACCTTTGCAACAACCTCCTCATTGCCAGCTTAGTCCCCATCCAATTATGAGGCACCAGTCAGTAAAACATGCCTTTGCAGGGTAAAAAATTGAGGTTGATACATAATGTCTCGGGGATGTCATTACTGAAGTGGAGGATGTCAATTTAAATGCCTTTGATGGATGGGAAATTGGGGTTGTATACTTTGGTTTGATTTATACACAGCAATTTACGTTCAACGAACAAGGAAGAATATACACAAGTATTTGATGGATGTATTTGTGGTGACATATTCTTCACAAAGATTGTGATCAACTTAAGAAGCTCTGACACAGAATGAAAGGGAACATCCTTTGGTTCTGCTGCCGCTGACTGTGGAGATTCCCACACGGACACCGCACCAGGATCCCCTTCTACTAAACCATGCACTTTCCAGGAGGATACAGTGGAAAACCTCCCATCAGACTGGCTAAAATAGCAGCAGCAGACCTGATAGCAACAAACTGGAGTAAATCTGGAACTAGCTATTCACAAGATTGGTAAGGAAGGAGAAGTAGAGATACCAGATCTGGCAGAAGGCAAACTTTTCAGGTATCCTTACAGACTAGATCAGGTTATACATCAAAAAGCAGTTTTCTCGATCAGATGAGGTGATGTTCAATAACTTGGACTGTGTGCTATTGGTTATTGACCTGATACATAGATATGAAACACCACACACACACATATACAATCTTTCACACACACACACACATATACAATCTTTCACACACACACACACA